ACTTATCTTATGCCCGCCCCCCACACACACCGTATTATTTTTCCAGTTAAAAATTTTAGATAAAATTTCAAATACTATCTCATTTAGTTACTTAATACATTTTAGTTACTTAATACATTTCCAAAATTCTTTTGACTAGCTTTACAGAACTAAATTTCAGGGAACTAGCAATTTGAGAGAATTGTTAATGTGAATAGGCCAAAGAGACAATTCAAGAGAAAAGATATCTTGTAATTAAAATCCTAAAGCATTTTATTTATAGGCCCTTCTGCCCTCAACTCCAATCTTACCTTTTTAAGTAGTTAAAATGTAGTATTTCTTGTAAAGCTTATCAGTGTCAACCACTTGAGTAAATGGCACATCCTCCCATTCCTCTATTAATTTAAAAATAAATCCCCTCTCAGCTTTTGTAAATGTCCAGTTTGAGTTATGGTAAAAGCAGTTTCACATTCTGTAATTCTCTCTCTTAAATCTAAACTACCTCATCTTAAAGTCTTGAGAGAGAATGCTGGCCTATTCGTTTCCATCTAAGTGCAAGATTTCAAATTGCACTACTTTAATAGTTTGTTTACCTGTATGAAAACAGTAAAGAAGATCACAACGGTGGTTGCTGCAATGAAGAGCTTCTTTCTGGAAAACTCTGGGAGCAGGAAAACAAGGGAGAAGCATATCGCTCCCCTCAATCCCCCGTAGGCTATAATAAACTGGTCCTTTCTGGTGACTGTATTCACATGACATTTGTTCACGAAGAAAGTCAGCACAAGAACTCCTAAATTTTCCAGTAGGAAGAAGAGCCAAGTAGTTAACCAACAGAAAGAAAAACATTACAACTATGTTGTAATAAATTAGTGTTAAACTAGATTGGAATTTCAAGGATTTGTGATGGATAATTTAAAAGTCTAAACTAATTAAACCATTAAAAGATTTATTGCATAAAATTACTTGCAGGGAGTGTTCTTTAAATAGTTGTGTTTTGTTTTGGTTGTGTTTTTGAGTTTCACTTTTGATTGTTCTCACGTTTTTAGAATGAAAGCACTATAATTCCCTTTCTTAGGCTCATGTGGATTCTCTGGGATATTATGCAAAAGCAATCTTAACAAATAAAAGGTAATATTTCTCTTCAGTCTTATAAATATTAATAGTACTGAGCTGACCCAAGCTAGTGAACTAAAAGCTAAGTCATGTGATCTATGCTGGTTTTAATCTTTGATGAGCAAGGCGTCCAGATAGTTCAAGGCTTTTT